CACACTTACGACTGTTGCAGCATCCCCACAGTCACGAGAGGCCAGGCGAGGAGATGCGTGCCTTGATGTGAGTGATATTGAGTTGGCCACACCCAGCCAATAACATTGCCACCAAGCCACGTCCACCCAGTCACATGACCACCAAGTCACATCCACCAACTAAGCCATGCCCACAGAACCGGTTGTTAAAAATTTGAATCCCACCCCTGCCTAATATAATACACAATTAATGGCTGATAGCTCTGCCACATGGGATGGAGAATAAGCCTGGCTTATAGTTTAACAGATGTGAGTTTAAATGCACAGCATTTCAAACAAAAGGCAGTGAGAAACAGTTGATTCTTATTGGGGTCACTGAAAAGTGTATAAGAATCAGCAGCATCCCTCCAAATTTTCTAATGAATTTTTCTAATGAAGAATTTTTTATTCAAATAGCAACTTATTTGTTGCATTTAAATACTTCTTAGATTTCTATCATGACTTTCATTTAGAAGCTCAAAATGATATGCCTAGCATTCCTTGTGATGACAACATCTGGACAGGGGCGTACATCTTCTGTGAAATGTTCCAGCATTTGTCCTCGGGATCTTTGGCTTGTAACATCAGTCCAGGATGTTATTAGAGATGCTTTCATAAATGCCTCTTTGGAGATAGAAAGATTCCACCCTATTTAAATGAGGAAATTATTAGATTTCTTAAGTAGTTATCCCTGTATCCATCAGAGATAGACAATAATTGAATTTCCTAATTTTCAAGAAAGTAAAAGTAAGGAAAGGAAGAGTTACTTTCAGAATTGCATGATTCGTTGCTGTAATTTTATGTTGAAAGTAGTATTGGTATTCATGGTTGGTGCTTCTTGTCTGGATTACCTTACAGGGATGACAAAAGTAGATTATCTCAACCCATTTCAAATTGGATTTAGTACAGATTATTGAGGTTAAGGCTGTCTTGATTAGCCTGATGGATAATCTTTTAGTATAGATAATGTGTTGTAATGACGAGGCAGTCGAGTTGTTTGATCATGATCAACTGAATCATGATGATCTTTATTGGAATCTATTCTTGCATTTATACACATTTTTAGTTATCCTCCAACATTGGTTAACTTTGGTTTCTGCTTAACTTTTGTTACTGTTTAGCATAGCAACCAACACAATTAATTATCTCTAGTTAAAGTCTAACATATGTTTACTTCCTCTCTCTAATCCTCCTTTAGATGAGTGACTTTGTTTGCCTGAGTTGTATTTGCTTGGAAACATTCTTTATCTGAGGTTTGCCATCCGAGATAGGAACATTCCTGCAATTACAACTCTACAATAATGATTGTTGGTTCTTCTTGAACTTCCAGTATTTTTTTATTGAGTCAAGCATAATGTGTTTTTGTATTGCATATTTTGGCAACAGTTTCAATGGCTCTATTCTGTCTCTCAAGTTATCTTTAATCTGTGTCTCTTGGACTTTTTCAAGTGCAGCTATAATGTGGTATTCCTCAGACCTATATTCTGTCTTCTGTGGTACATCAAAACACTGAAGAAATTCACCAGGAAATTTAGAGCAAGGCATCATCAATATGCAGATGATACTCACACATATTTCTCTATGACCTATTCAAAAAATACTATGGCTCCCATTCTTGCACCAATGATTGGCTGGATGAGGAATAATGCATTATAACTGAATCCAAATAAGGTAGAGCTTCTCCTTGTGAGAGATCAGGATTGAGAGATCTGCTTTTCCCAAGTTTTACTTATCTATTAGCAAGAGAAAGAAAGTCTATTGAGGAATGTATTCCTCAGTGTTGCAGCTGTGTACATTAGTACTAGTCTCTCTTTTTGTTACAAAACCAAACCATTCTATTTTCTCAGGCATTTTAATTGCTTGAATTGAATTCTTGTCTGATTCCTATTTGAACAGGTTTTATATCTCTCATATTTGTTATATACTTATTATATACTTATTATATATTATATAATGTTACATATTTAGCAACTGTTTAAAAGTACAACGGCACTGGAAAAACTGACCTATGACCATTCCTCACCCTTATTACTATTAAGGCATCCCTGCGATCAGGAGATCCTGGATTTGCTTAATCACTATGTGATTTTTTTAATGACTACATGATTAACTGAAAGACCATGGCAAAAAAGTAGTAAAATCACATGATGATTCCTTTAATGATCCATCATTGCTTAGTGACAGACAATCCGGTCATATTTTGAGGACTATCTGAAACTGTTTTACCCAATGGATATCTGCCTTGGAATTCTTTGTGAAATGTGCTTTGTGAATGTTTAAAGTAGAACAAGTAGGTGTGCCCTCTAATTAAATGTCATTTTGTGGAACTGAAGAAATATGCTTTCTCTTTCACAACCCCTGCCCTCTCCCCAGAGACAACATGGCATTCACTCTCTTAGAGTCTGGAAGATTCTTAAGACTTGGGCCTCTTCCTAGGTCTAGGTTTAGGGTGTCTGTGGAGCCATTGTTGAATCTTTCTTACGTGTTGAGTAATGTTGTTTTCATCTGGAGAATTATTTTTCTTGTGTTTTTAATAAGTATTGCTTATACTAGAAGCTACCCAAGACTTTGGGGCACTTTCAATAAATTCTGTAAATAAATAAATTTGGTCAATTAGGATAGATTGATATTGAAAGTATACAGAGGCAGAAGGTTGGAAAATGTAATGCAGTAGAATAAAACAAGAGAACAATAACTTCTGTTGTGGGAACTAAGAAAGAGACAGGATTAGCTTTCTACATCAGAAAATGGTTGTTTGATAGATAAAGGGAAAACCAGATAAGTTAGAGTTGGGATCATTTTTATCAAAGGTGCCAGAAAGGTCAAGAAAGATCAGAGCAGACCTTTAGATCTGGTACTATGGAAACAACTTGCTAGAGTTGTCTTGTAGCAAATCAAGAGTACATAGAGATAGCTAAGAATATTCCAGCAATTCAGAATATACGTACATGATTGGCCACATTTAGGGGAAAAAAATTTCAGGGAGTTTTTAGCAGTTTTTAGAACTGTAGAAATAAAAAGTCTGCCTGAAATTATTTACTTTCTATAGGAAATCAAAGGAATGGCCATTGGGATACAAGATTGTCTCATTTCAGGACTCATAAAAGCATAAGAACAAAGATTCGTGTAAGAATTAAATGAAGAATCAGGAGACACTAGAAGTGAATAAGTAATGTGGATGATGGATCCAAATTTATTTCTGAATCAGTCATTACATGGAATATGTACTGCAGCCAAAACTTTTGGCTATAAAGTTCAGCTCTCTGACATCGGCAAGTTCTCCAAATATACTTTGGATCCTTTTGTAATCCCATGTGATGGAATTCAGTGGTTGAAAAAGTTTGTGTGTAAACTTATGGATCTCATTGTAGTATAATAAGTATAATCTGTGTTGCTCTGTATGTCCATAGGAGGCTATTTCTTTCAGGTCATGCCTGATAAAACTCTGTTCGTGATTATGATTTGTCAATCTAATAAATCATTATTAGATTATTAAATCTTGCACATTTGACATATTTATATTTCCTCTCATAAAAAGCTTATGAAATCCTTCCCATGTCAGAAATAATGATTTTTAAAACTCAGGACTGTCATTTTTTGTAATATTATCCCTAAAAATAATTATACAGAATATTATTTCTTGGCTGGGGGAGGGGGGGCAGGAAAAATAGTTCGTGTCTATATGATCTTTATTTTGTTCTTCTTTAGTATTCTTAAAAAGCAAAGTGGCAAATAGATTTTTGCAAAGAACAAAACGAGCTAATTCACTGTTTGAGGAATTTAAAGCTGGAAACATTGAAAGGGAATGCATTGAGGAGAGATGTTCAAAAGAAGAAGCCAGGGAGGCATTTGAAGATAACGAGAAAACTGTAAGTGTGTATCTTTGACTGCTCTCTCTATCTACTCGTTTGGTGCATGTGTGTTTCTATGCATCTTATTTCTTGAGGCCTTCAGAATCAAAATCAGGTGGCATGGTATGGGTTTCAAGTATGTCTTCATCATGGAATATTTTACCAGATCATTTTTTTCTTTGGTTCTTTCTGTTGCTTTTGGCTGTTCCATCCTCTTTGACTATATATCTCTTTTCTTCATCCTGCTAAAGAAAACTGGAATGTGGAGGCACTTCCATCACACACTCTGAGCACCCAACAAATCTGTGTGTCACCCAGATCATTCTCACACTAAAGTGTAAACAGCTCTTACAAGATTTGTATTCATTTATTATCTTGTAACATTTCTCATCCACTTTTTATATTTGAAAATTAATCATGTGATTAACCATGCTTAAAACCCTGCAAAGCAAATAAAAAAACCATTCTTGGCGTGGGTAAATTCTTAATCATTCTTTTCATTAAAGGACTGTCCATATTTGCATTAAAAGAATACAAAAAGATAACGGTTTTTAAAATATAGAAATAACTTTTCAGTGGAAGTGCAGTTGAGAGAGGAAAACTGTTTATGACATATTGTGATATATTAGTATTAGTGCTTAATCACCAGTCACCAAAATGTTGCATAAGATTCTTCTTAAATTATTTTTGTTCAATTTCCTGGCCTTGTAATTTTTATTTAATACTGTTAAACTCTAACGTGTATGTATTTTTTTCTAATCAGGAGACCTTCTGGAATGTTTATGTAGGTAAGAGATCATCTGCTTTTGCTCCATACATTTTTCCTAACATAATAGTTAAATATATGCAATGTATTTGATGGAATCAATATATTAATTTTGATTAAAATGAAAAGTACTGTATGTTTAGGATAAATTAAAATTGACCGGTCGATCCCCATTTTTTATTAATTCAGATTCTTAAGTCCTTCAAAGCTTAGAAAAATCCCAGTTATAGATACTCTAATATAAGGTCATAAACAATTTATTACTATCCATATGTGGGACATTTCAAAGTCTATACATATCCATAATATATGTGGCCATTAACATCCTCAAATCAAGTCATCTAATAATTTCAATGATCAACAATTATTTTTAAGAAATGTGTTCTGTTAGGTTCTAAGGCAGGTCATATATTCTGATTTAACCTCATGAGTAAAGTAAGCTACACGATTTGGTCAAACTTTATCCATAGCACCATCTGTCCACAGAACCAAGTTTCCTTTTCCTATAGAGGACTGAAGTAATGTAGTTCCATGTGTTAAACTGGCTTAGATTTGCTATATAACTTGTGAGAAACCTTTCTTGGTAATTTGCATGCAAACTCTTCCTCTGTGCAGTATATTTCTTTTGTAAAGTTGATTGATCCAAAGTTGAGAATAAGTATTATTCATTATGGCCATCTTAAAATTTCCATACTTGGTACTGCATTTGAACTTCTCTTCCAGGAAACAGTAACTTCGATTTTTCTTCTGAACGTACAGTACAGTATTTCTGCATTTGGATTTCAACTTCTTCTTTTTTCATGCTAGATGGGGATCAGTGTTCATCAAACCCCTGTCATTATGGCGGGACATGCAAAGATGGCATTGGTAGTTATACCTGTACCTGCTTGGCTGGCTATGAAGGGAAAAACTGTCAATATGGTAAGTTGAGCTGGAGCAATTCAGAAGACTTAAGGGAAAGAATAGAGCCATTTATTGCTATGGCCTCAATGATGCTTCAATCTAAGTAAACTGTCAGTTCCCATAAGATTTCACTGAAATTTTTGAAGACTTAGGGAAAATAATCTCACATCTTTTCAAATTTTTACAAGACTTGTCAAGGGGAGGGAACGAGGAAGAAGAAGAATGGCCAAATAAAATTAACACAATTTTCCAAGGTTTAGCTGCCATCCAAGAAAAACATATGTGGCCTAGATTTAGTTTATGAAGTAAAGTTAATGGTTTTGTAGGTGGTTTCTTGAATATATGGTAGCTTCTTAACAATATTATTGGCAGAAGTAACGGGAAAGGATGTTCCTAAGAATATGGACAATCCATTCAGAAATATTAGATGATAAAAAGCAACTAGATGGACCACAGGGGTGGGATTTTACAGGTTCGCCCCTATTCGCTAGAACCGGTTGTTAACATTCTAAGAAGTTCGGAGAACCGGTTGTTAGAAGAAATTACTGGCCTAATCCTGTAAGGAAGGCAGGAAGAAAACATTCTGGTGTTGCTTACAGAAACTCACCCTCCGTTAACCCTTATTACATTGTTGGCAGGACTAGACTTCCTGTCTCAGGAACGTCTCCCCCTCCTTTGCTGGTACTTTGCTTGTGTGGAGTGACCATTCAAAGTTACAATGGCACTGAAAAATGTGACTTATGACCATTTTCCACACCTACAACTATTGCAGCATCCCCATAGTCACGAGAGACCAGGCGAGGAGATGCATGCCTCGATGTGAGTGATATTGAGTTGGCCACACCCAGCCAATAACTTGACCACCAAGCCACATCCACCCAGTCACATGACCACCAAGCCATGCCCACAGAACCGGTTGTTAAAAATTTGAATTCCACCCCTGATGGACCAGGTCAAAGACTATGTTTTTGTAGCTAACATCCTCGTCTCTTATTGGTGTACAGCTGGTACAATATACAGTGAAAAAGAGCAGTAGCTTGGTTATCCTTTAATTTGTCTATTTCTCTTTTAACACTATTTGGTCATGGTATGAAACTATGATTTCAAGATTCTTTTTCTGACCAGCCATAGTTAGCTCATGCTTAATAATGCATATGTGAAATGGGTGGAGTTTTTACATTAATATCTAAAATTTGGATACACTAACCTGCTATTTCTAGTTTAAAGGACATGTACCAAAATGGCTGAACCATTTGGAGCCATGATAAAGAAATGTGCAACTAATTTCCCCCCTCCCCAAAAAATAGAATCCCAGGTTTAGTTGATAAATTTCCTCTATTTTGTGGGAAAATATATGAAGCTTACAGTTTTCTTCAGGTTTTTCCCATCAATAGTGGGAGACAAGGTCCATCGGCAGAAAAGAGTGAGGACTTTAAATTCCTACCAGCATCACTTCTGCTTCTGCAACCAGTTTCCCTAACATCCCATTATAAGCAAGCAACATAGGATTGCTATGCTAAGAAGATTGGCTATGGCTGCCACAATTTTATCTTTGTATAAAGAAGATGATTTTTTAAAAATCTACTAATGCTTTGTCTGCTTATTTTTTCACATAGTCTTATATCAGTCCTGCAGAGTGGACAATGGTAACTGTTGGCACTTCTGCAAACCTGTTCAAAACGAAATTCAGTGTTCATGTGCTGAAAGTTACCTTTTGGGAGATGATGGGCACTCTTGTGTTGCTGGAGGTATGAATGTGTTTTTTCAGTTAAAACAATTAATTATAACATTTTATTTTGGTTTTCTCATATCCATGTTAGCCAAAGACTGGTGTGTTATTCCTACTGGGCTATGTACATTCTGTCATATTTTAAGTCAGAACTTAAAAAAAAAACTTAGTTTGACTGTTGGTTGTATATTATTTTATTATAAAGGAGGAAGGCAGCATTTTATATGGTAACAAAAGGGTCAGATCTCCATTTGGCTTTTTTATGCATCCTGATAGCTTTTCAACTCTGACTCCACTGTACCTTTACTGGCACAATCTATCTCTGTCCATTGACAATGAAGGCTATCTAAATATTGCTTTATTCTTTGATAGGAATTGTTTCCTTATGTAATGGCAGAATTGGTAAAAGTGGGCTGGGCTAATTAATCAGCATTCCAATATCTAGTTTTCAGCAACAGTTATCCTTTATTAAAAGAATAGAGATGGCAATTTTCTGATTTGTTAATAGTTTTCTAACTCAGACTAAGATTAATTAGATATAAAGGTGTCTTTTTTTTTTTTGTATTCTTGTTTCTTGACCACATGTTCTAATATTGCTATATCATTTAATTTGAAATCCTCATTGTGATTTTTCAGGTGACTTTTCGTGTGGTAGAAATATAAAAGCAAGGAACAAGAGGGAAGCAAGTCTGCCTGACTTTCAAACAGATTTTTCTGATGACTATGATGCGATTGATGAAAATAATTTTGTTGAAACTCCTACAAATTTCTCTGGCTTAGTTCCCACTGTGCAGTCCCAGAATGCAACTTTGCTGAAAAAATCTGATAATCCAAGCCCTGATATCAGAGTTGTTAATGGAACAGACTGCAAACTGGGTGAATGTCCATGGCAGGTAAATGAGTTCAATCTGTATGAGAGAATACTAATTGATTTATAGCCTACATTTGTTGAAACAATGAAACATGCATTACTTTTAATATCCAATTACTTTCATAACGTGTATGTGTGTGTGTGTGTATGAGAAGTAAAGATACTGACTGTGACTGCACAACGAAAGCTCCAACAATTGTTATATGACTTAGATTTAAAAAAAACACAGGACTTTAAATTCCATAGTCCCAGCTGCCTTTTTTGACTCTCTTTGAAGATGTTCCTCACCATCTGTTATGAAATCAATATTCCAAGAATAATATTTATTTCTTTATTTATTTATTTTATTTTATTACATTTTATTACATTTTTATGCCACCTATCTCTCCTATGAGGTGACTCTGGACAGCTTTAGCCATATAACTTTATGACTTCTATTTTTAGGCACTTCTGATAAATGATCAAGGAGATGGGTTTTGTGGAGGAACAATTTTGAGTCCCATCTATGTGCTTACTGCAGCCCACTGCATTAACCAGACCAAGTACATTAGAGTTGTTGTAGGTGGGTATTTAAATTGTTGTCTAGCTTCAAAAATATTTACAGTGCAAGCCAACTGTGTCTTCTGATGCAATCCCAAATTAGTATGCATAACATTGCAGCCTTAATTAAATATATATTTTTGGTTACTAATATGTCTCAAGCTAGGCAAAATCAGAGTACACTTTCTTTGCTATCCTAATGCATCAAATTAAATTAATTTAATTATCCAATTGCATTTAATGACATTCTTCACTCTCTGCTATGGTTATATTTTTAACATTTTATGTTTAAGGCAGGGGTGGGATACAAAAATCCCAGTAACCAGTTCGCTGCCCAGTTGCTGGGCGGGAGTGGCCCTGGTAGGCGTGGCCTACCGGAACTTCCGGGACGGCCATTTTTCACCTTCCCAAGGGTCCAGAGGTTTCCCTCGGGCCTCTGGGAGAGTGAAAACAGCCTCCACGGGGCTCTGGAGGCCTTCCAGATGCCGGAAACAGGCCCATTTTGCACTTCTAAAAGGCCCGTTTTTCTTCTTCCCAGAGCCTCCGCGCGGACCCTGCACTTACCTGTATCAAAAATGGGCCGTGTTAAGACTCCTGGAAGGGCAGCGGCAGGGTGGGCGAGGCCAGCTGGTCAATTAAAATACCGGTTCAGTGAACCAGATGCAAATTTAACATCTGGTTCACCCAAACTGGTCCAAACCAGTAGAATCTCACCCCTGGTTTAAGGGTGCTGTAGCTGTAGCCTATATGCTACATCTGTATGTTACACAACACTAGCATCTGTAAGCTGGTGTTTCTCAACCTTGGTGGCTTTAAGTTGGGTGGACTTCAACTCCCAGAATTCCCAGGCCAGCATGCTCCACCTATCTTAAAGCTGCCAAGGCTGAAAAACACTGAAAAAACTGTAATATATTTCGTTTGATTTTTGGCTGAGAATATTGTGTAACCAAGATATTTTGATCACAAGCATTCACCACAAGAAGTGAGAATGGGTAAGGAACAAGCAATACAGATGGTAAAATGCTTTAGCATACATATTTGCATCAGATGTCCCAATATAAATATGTTATCGTGGCAATGGTGTGATGATGCCATCACATGCTTTGCATTTTGGCATTGCCACAGTTTGTTACAGATGCTGCCAACTCTGCTTTGTAAATCAAGTACAAAAAGCAGCGTTATAGCTGTAACAATGATACATAATTCTGATTAGATATGTTTCTTGGATCTATAAGTTATTTTTCAATATAAAAATATTTATCTGGTTATCAGAAATGTGGATAGTTATGTTGTACATACATACAATTTTTACTAAGTTGGTCTTCCACAGGGGAAATAGACATATCAAGAAAAGAAACCAGACGTCTTCTTTCTGTGGATAAAATATATGTGCATACAAAATTTGTTCCTCCCAACTATTACTATGTGCATCAAAACTTTGATCGTGTCGCCTATGACTATGATATAGCCATCATCCGAATGAAGACCCCTATCCAGTTCTCTGAAAATGTGGTTCCTGCCTGCCTTCCCACTGCTGATTTTGCCAACGAAGTCCTCATGAAACAAGATTCTGGCATCGTTAGTGGATTTGGGCGTATTCGATTTAAAGAACCGACCTCTAACACACTTAAAGTCATTACGGTTCCTTATGTGGACAGGCACACCTGCATGCTTTCCAGTGATTTTCGAATTACTCAAAATATGTTCTGTGCTGGCTATGATACTCTGCCTCAAGATGCATGCCAGGGAGACAGTGGGGGGCCCCACATCACTGCATACAGAGATACCCACTTTATTACTGGGATTATCAGCTGGGGGGAAGGATGTGCACGGAAAGGCAAATATGGTGTTTACACAAAAGTGTCCAGATTCATCCCTTGGATAAAAAAAATAATGAGTCTAAAGTAACCCAGTACAGAGTCAAGCACTGGTCAGCTCTAAAAATCATCCAGTGGCATATTTCATGCAGCAATAATGCATTGGGTTAGAACATTCATGATATCCACTTTGGTTCAGAACTCTTCAGATGTAGTGCCACTTTTAAATATAACATTCAAGTCATGTAGCTTTCCTATTTATCGAGAGCTTTTTTCTTCTGGTATTAATCCCTTCTGGCACATAGAATGAGTAGACTATTTCATTTCAGCTCTTGTCTCTTGTGTACCTATCTTTTACGACCTTTTCTAAAGATTTATACAGGTTTGTAATTTATAATCCTTCAAATAGAAGCTCAGCAGGAATATTTGTTCCCTTTGTAATACAACCTCCAGTTCCCTTGAGACCATCAGTTGGGTTAATCAAGGTAGTGCCCAACTGGGTAATCAGCTGAATTGTTTTCCAATTTAATTTACCCCAAACAGAAGCAGAGGTCAAACCAAGCCTTCAGTACTGTTGCCTTCTACTTCTATGGAGGGGGAGTTAGGGACGTCATAAAACTTTGCTCTACGAATCCAACACTTCATGTCAAAAATTTCTTGAAGAAAGTGAACAGAATTCTGTATTTCCCAAATGGTTATTCCACTCGCGTGCTCACATTTTGGGTTATTTTGTGTGATCAAAATTTCCAGTGACAGGATCTGATTGAGATGATCACTAACTGGGTTATAGGAACAGAATAAAAGTGATATATTCAATATGCTTTCTTAATTGTGTTATTGTATCACAAACATTGTGGAGTTTTTTTTAGGAAAATAGGTTTAATTGAAAAATTAAAAGGCTTTTCAGATTTGTGGTGTGTATATATATATATATATATAAAATTAAAGATATTTGAAAGTTTTTATCTGCCTGTGAAGTGAACTGGTATATTTTCTAGACATCAGAAGATTTTTGGGATATCAATTAAAACAGACTATAAGCTTCACATTTACGAATTATCTTTCTCTTGGTGAAAACTTCCGTGCATTATCTTCTGCTTTTATACTCTGGATCTTAGTTAAATACAATTAACTTAATAATTTGACATGTCATCCAAGAAAAATAATGTGCATTGAATCCAGTTATATGCTTCCAACATAACGAATCCATTTTTGTTTCTGTTCAGCAGCGAAGGGGGTAGCACAAAAATAGGCATAGTAAAGGCTTAAAATGAAATCCCCTGTCAATGACTGAGGGCTACAAAAATTAAAGCTCCTAAGAGAGGAGGAATATTTAAAAAGCTCAGTGTTAAATTTAAGCATAAAAGTGTTAAATTTTGAAATCATAGAAACATTTCCGCTGACAGAGGACATGAACACAGAATTCTCAACTATCTAATAATGAAACCAAAATATTTATTGGAAGAGCCCTGTTAGAGGAAGATAACATTAGGAAACTCTTATATTGTCTATTATTTCAAAAGAAAGCAAACATTTCTTTTTTGCATGCATATTACTGTTTTGAACAAATGTAGCAGACATTTGTTTTAAAAATTTAAATAGGGAAAGAATGATTCAACCTCATTTTTTTCATAGCTAATGTCCAATGAGAACAATCCCACATATTTACACAAAGTTTATATATTGCTCTGCTACTGGTCAATAGGTTTTCATGTTCATATATCAACTCCAGCAAGTTAACCCCAAAGCAGTAAAATATACCTATATGTCTAATATAAGTACATAAAGTAATAAAACCAGTACTGTATTATCCAGTCCTTGTCCATGTGTGGAATAGTTCACCATACCTTCATCAGATATTTATTTTGAAGACCATGAAGGGCAATTTTTACATCATTGGTATTCAGAGGCAAACCAACAGTAACAATCACTTATTCTGGGAATGAGAATGGAATGCCAAAGCAGTACAAACAGCATATACAGGTAAATGAAGTATGGTGCTCAGTTTAGAAGAACTGGAAGAATGGTTCTTTTATTTACATACTCATATGTAGTCATAAAACAAAATGTTTGGTTTTGGAACCACTCTCATATTTATTACAAATCAACATTCCCCAAAGATCTAACTATTAAAAATATGGAAGACCATTCTTATTAAATGCATCATGAACTCAAATCTAAACAAAGCTAAAAAGAATCAGGGCCTGTAACAACTCTCCTATATGCCATATTTCTGACATACAATTAGGATATATTACCATAAAGTGTATAAATGTGCCCAGCATTCATAAATATAAGGTGGAGGCAGATAATTGTAAACTTCTCCTGAGGGTCCTCTTTTTCTTATGAGGAAGAGCTTAGTGTGCATCTCAAATTCTTAACTTTGAGTACTGTAATATTTTTATTCCAGTGACAATGTCCCAGTGGAAACAGAATGAAAGACGTAAATGTGAAAACTCACATCAACTGAACTAATCTTTAGTACAAGAAAGTTGGCAAAGGTTAGGCAGTTAAGAACAGAAGGAATCAATACAGCAGCCACAGCTAGGCAAAATGTTGATTTAATATTGCCAATATTGCCTTTGTAATATGACTCAGAAATGGATCTATTTATGGCACCTCTTCCAGATGATTTCAGAATATAGAGATCTAAGTAGAGATCTACTATTAAAGATACTATCTAAGATGCTATTAAAGATACTATCTAAGATACTATTAAATACCTAAAGAACTATTAAGCAGTTCTTGTAATTAGAGCTAGAATTAGAAGTTTCCCTTCTCAAGGTAGCATAGAAAAGATTACAAAAATCAATAGGACCTCTCTGAAACAGATGTTTTTACAATGAATTGTTCAAATGTTGACCCTGGGTCAACTCTGGTTCTACATTCATTCATATATATGTCTTTGCCAACTTTCTATTGTAAAATGACTTGAGCTGCTGGAGGGGTGTGGTGATTTATGATTTTAATGATGGTGCAGAATATTAACACCATGCTGAAGAGTTATGTCAGGGCAAGAAGAGAAGGAGGAGGAGGAGGAGGAACTGACTGTTACATAAACAGGCTTTGTGCAGATACAACATAAAGGTAGCAGAATTAACATGCTTTCCAGGTTTACTAGCACACTAACTCAAACTTGAATTCAAGCCATATATTACAGCTTACAGACTGGAATCCAAAATCTTGAGTAAAAAGAAAATTGCAGTCTGTGTTTACTTTAACCACAGACTCAAAAAAATAATATTCCCTTACATTTTTAGTAAATGAAATACTCTCTTGTGAAGTAATGCATTTCATTTCCAAGTGAAAGTGTAGCAGTTAGACCAAGAACCCTGGAGACTTGTAACTAGGGTCACTGTCACCATGGAAGTTTGCTAGATTATTTTCAGGGTCATTATTTCCCAGTTCAGGTTACCTCACAGGTGGTTGTGGTATGGAAAAATTGGAGAAGGGAATGTTAGTACTCCACTTTCAGTTTTAATCTTTTAAAAACAAAATGAAAATGCATATTACACCAAGCCATCTGACTCAGCAGAAGAATATTCCCATCTTAGCGTAGGAGAGCAAAATAAATCCTTTTTTTTTTTAAGATGGCTTGGGTAAATTTACAGCAAAACTTTTCATGCAAGGGTTTGCAGAGCTCAGAACTCTCCTAAGCTTTCTTCTCTCGGCTTTAATAATGAAATAATGGGACAAGATGAAAGGACACAAGAAAACCAATCTTCATCTGTATGTCCAAGGCATATTAGACAAATCTCTCCTCGCAAAATGGAGGGATTGTTTTTCTTTCAGCTATAATCTCCTGAGCACCAAATTCATTTGTTGACATTCTATCCTATGCGTCAATAGCAAAGTCCAAGATTCTTCCAATGTTGTTATCAGCAAAATTACACTGTCAGCTTGGGACAAAACCTTCCCACTGAACATCTGTGCAGTTCTGTGAAGGAAAGAATTATATGAAGTAGGTCATGGCACCGATGACACAAAATGATTTTTCATGCTTATTTCCAAGAGGCTAAATAAATCCATTCCCCTTTTTCACACACTTTTGGCCTCACACAAAATGTTTCTCTGATTATATTCTAACCTTGCTTACATGCCTAACTAGGATCACATTCTCTTACTGATGTTGTCATGTAACCACCTCCTGACTCTATATCAGGGGTCTCCAACCTTGGCAACTTTAAGCCCAGCGGACTTCAACAAAACTGGCTGGGGAATTCTGGGAGGTGAAATCCGCCAGGCTTAAAGTTGCCAAGGTTGGAGACCCCTGCTCTATATCACTATAACTTCATCTTAATACTAAATTAAAAATTAACATGAAAAGATATTGAGCGCTTACTTTACTGAAATCTTTTTTTTTTTCTAAACATGGCACAATTTTAGTTGTAACTATTTATTAACTAGACTGATTGTTTGGCTATACGGTTTTAGAATGTATTTTCATATTCATAGATTATATTGGAACTCTCCTAGGAGGATTTCATTCTAAAAGTTTGAGTGCAAATATTTAAATTAGACATAAATTGCTGCTTCTGCTTCCAAGGCACCAAACAGTTCAAAGACTAATATTCCAATCATTAACACATATTGAATGTCTGTTTTTTTAAATGTTAGTTTACATATTTGTTTGAGCTTATACTTGATGAAGAAAAGTGAATAGAAATTACCATAGATTATATTGATTGTTGTAAGAAAAGTCAAAATGATCTCCATAAACCAGTTTGTTGCATGCTCAGCGCAATGTGCTCATCTTTGTCTGCAAAAGTGAAGATGGTCTGTCAAGCATCTTAGTCCAAACTGTTTACATTTTATATGTCAAAACAAAACTTGAACTCAGCTTAGTTACTAAGAGGCCATCCAGCAAAACAGCTGTGCATATAGGAGCAGCCAGGAACAGTTAGCTAGCAACTTTATGAGGGGGGTGGAAAGAGGTAGCTCTTTCAGTGAGTCAGAGAAAGTGCTTCTTCCATGCTTTGCATAATAAGAAGCACTTCCTTTGAAGGATTTGCAGAGCTAAAGAGGACACTTGTTTCATTTCTTTGTTCGCTTTTCTTTGTTTTATAGA